CTCACGTGCCACAGCTGTGTTGTGACACGCTCTTGCAGGGAGGACAGAGGAGGAGTACCGGCATCAGCTGGGGAGCTACGGTGTCTCGGGAGAGCTGGCCGTGCGCCCTGTTGCCAGCCTGTCTGGAGGTCAGAAGAGTCGAGTGGCCTTTGCCCAGATGACTATGCCCTGGTAATTTTCTCCCAGATGCTGTTAATATTTACATGGGTGCATCCCTGGAACCTGCTTCACTGGGGGAAAGGCAGGCATCGAAGGACCTTCTGCTCTCCGGGAAGCCCAGTCTTCGGGACTTTTGTGGGGAGGGAAGTTGTCACCCTGCGGGGACCGCGTCAAGGAGGCAGATGACTTTCTCCTGCTGCTTTGAGCTCTTAGGTGCTGCAGAACTGGGCAACACTGATCTTGGGGCCACGCAAATGCCTGTGGCTCTGAGTGGCTAGAGCAGTAGCCTGGATTCCTGCCCTGTGCAGGGGTTCTTGCAGCGCTAAGGGGTGCAGATTCAGCCTGGGTTTGTCCCTGTGCAATCCTCAGAGTTGCCTTCTCTTCCAGTCCGAACTTCTACATCCTAGATGAGCCGACAAATCACCTGGACATGGAGACCATTGAGGCACTGGCAAAGGCACTGAATAAATTCCGGGTAAGATTCTCTAAGTGAGATATCTCGTTTTTCTCAACACTCCCTGCAACCTCTGGCTTGGGTTGCTTTGTATCTCAGCCAACGTGGTAGCCTCAAGTCCCTGGCAGATGGTGGGGAGAATCTGTTGTATTTTGGCCATAGCTGTTTGTCCTGGTATGGGGTTTGCTTCATGTATGAACTTTGGCTAGGAGTGGCTGAGAGAGGTCACTACAAAGCACCTTGTCCTCCATCTTGGCCAGTCTGTGATTTCTCATGTGCTTCTGTGTTGCTGCATGCAGTGCGCAGCCCTGCCCTGATGTCCTTTGGTTATTCCTTAAACAAAGCTTGTTTTGATCTCCAGACTCAGCTTGCAGATGCCACAGTGATGAGCCGAAATCTTTCCATTTTGGTGTCCAGGTTGGGTTCGTTTTCCTACAACAGAAAAGCTTAATTGTCATTGGAAGGGATCTCCAGAGATTTCTGGTCCATCCCTTTATTTAAAGTAAGGCCTGCTTGGATGAGGTTGCCCAGGGCCTTGTGCAGTCAGCTTCACACTGTTACTGACTCCACCTGGGATCTCTGTCCTTGAGGCTTAGCAGAGATCTGCACAGCCAGTAAGAAACTGCACTTGCTCCAAGAAGCAAAGCAAAATATGTTCTTGCTGCATGTGCAAGAACATGTGTTCTATCTATCCCACTTGAAAGAAGAAGATGCTAGGCACTGCTGGAAAAGCAGGAGTTCTCTAGAGCTTTTCCCTGAAAGGGGTGAAAACCTGACATCCTCTGCAGCCAGACTGGTCCTCTTCACATCACCGTGAGCTGGATCCCAGCTTGTGCTAGAGCCCTGGGTTGTGGTCCACTAAGTAAGTCTCCCTGCGTTGTGCTTCCACAGGGCGGTATAATCCTGGTGTCCCATGACGAGCGCTTCATCCACCTGGTGTGCCAAGAGCTGTGGGTATGCGAGAATGGCACCGTGACGCGCATCGAAGGAGGCTTCAACCAGTACAGAGACATCCTGACGGAGCAGTTCCGGAAGGAGGGTTTCCTATAAAGAAAGCGGGAGTGGGACTGCACGAGCGGGCTGGAGTGCCAAGCTCGGCCCCCTCAGTGTCTGTCCGAACTGTGCCTGGCAGAGCGCTGAGGACGCCGCTGTCCCCATGGATCGTCAGCTGTGCCATCAAACTGCCATCTGAACTGCCCTCCCCTCCCGGGCCTGGAAGAAAGGAACGGGACAGCCCCTGCGCAGCTCTTCTGCCTGGCCTGGCCGGGCAGAGCGGGAGGAGAGCAAGGGGCCTGGCACGGTGCGTGGCCGGGAACACGCGGTGGGCATCGCTCGTAACGGGCACCGCCTGCCTGGCGCTCCCGAACGCTGCTGCGGGCCTGGCCGCTCCGGCTCAGCCCCTGGAAATGCTACACCTGGAGCTGCTGCTCTGCTGGGATGAGGGAAGCAGTTTGGACATCCCACGTCCCTGCTTTAACTCACAGTGCCCTGAAGGGCAGGAGGGCTCTCCTCTGTTTTTTTTTTTTTTTTTCTCCCTCTTTTTTTTTTTTTTTTTTTCTGCCCATGCTTTTTTTTTTCTTTTTCTCTCCAACTGGCTGAACACCAGTCAGATTCCTGTAAAATGTTTCCCCTCTCTGCTCTTAATACACTGCCCTCCCCTCCGCCACCCTAAGAGGGGAACGAGGCCTTTGCTGCTAATGGTGACCCTGTCTTTTCACTTGGGGCGGGTTTGGTTTGTCGTTCCCTTTCCCAGCCTGGTGTTTGTGTCACCGAAGGGGAGATCCTGCCTTGGCCCGGGGCCTGGGCCGCATCCACGCACCCTTTCCCCCGCAGGCCTCGATCCACGTTGCCTCCCTGCCTGCGTTTCATTTCAAAGCCATGAAACGCTCTGCGTTGCGGGGTGCGAGGGGCCGCACTCCCTGCCGATCAGCACAGCGGTTGCAGTGTAAATAAAACCGGGGCGCAGCGGGCGCAGAGCCTTTCCTTTCCTCGGCGTGCGGGGCTCCAGTGGGGCCGGAGCTGCTTCCTAGCGGCCCTGGCAGTCCCTGGGCTTTGGAAAAACGGATGTGGGTTGGGGTGGCAGGAGCGGCGCGGGGGCCGCGGGAGGGAG